TTGGGAAAACTGGACAGCTACATATAAAAGAATGAAATTAGAACACTCCCTAACATCATACACAAAAATAAACTCAGAATGGATTAAAGACCTAAATGTAAGGCCAGACACTATCAAACTCTTAGAGGAAAACATAGGCAGAACACTCTATGACATAAATCACAGCAAGATCCTTTTTGACCCACCTCCTAGAGAAATGGAAATAAAAACAAAAATAAACAAATGGGACCTAATGAAACGTAAAAGCTTTTGCACAACAAAGGATACCATAAACAAGACGAAAAGACAACCCTCAGAATGGGAGAAAATATTTGCAAATGAAGCAACTGACAAAGGATTAATCTCCAAAATTTACAAGCAGGTCAATATCAAAAAAACAAACAACCCAATCCAAAAATGGGCAGAAGACCTAAATATTTCTCCAAAGAAGATATACAGATTGCTGACAAACACATGAAAGAATGCTCAACATCATTAGTCATTACAGAAATGCAAATCAAAACTACAATGAGATATCATCTCACACCAGTCAGAATGGCCATCATTAATAAATGTACAAACAATAAATGCTGGAGAGGGTGTGGAGAAAAGAGAACTCTCTTGCACTGTTGGTGGGAATGTGAATTGATACAGCCACTATGGAGAACAGTATGGAGATTCCTTAAAAAACTACAAATAGAACTACCGTACGACCCAGCAATCCCACTACTGGGCATATACCCTGAGAAAAGCATAGTTCTAAAGAGTCATGTATCAAAGCGTTCATTGCAGCTCTATTTACAATAGCCAGAACATGGAAGCAACCCAAGTGTCCATCAACATATGAATGGATACAGAAGATGTGGCACGTATATACAATGGAATATTACTCAGCCATAAAAAGAAACGAAACGAAAGTTATTTGTAGTGAGCTGTATGAACCTAGAGTCTGTCATACAGAGTGAAATAAGAAAGAGAAAAACAAATACCATATGCTAACACATATATATGGAATCTAAAAAACAAAAAAGTCATGAAGAACATAGGAGCAAGACGGAATAAAGACAGACCTACTAGAGAATGGACTTGAGGATATGGGGAGGGGGAAGTGTAAGCTGTGACAAAGCGAGAGAGAGGCATGGACATATGTACACTACCAAACGTAAGGTAGATAGCTAGTGGGAAGCAGCCGCATAGCACAGGGAGATCAGCTCGGTGCTTTGTGACTGCCTGGAGGGGTGGGATAGGGAGAGTGGGAGGGAGGGAGACGCAAGAGGGAAGAGATATGGGGACATATATGTATGTATAACTGATTCACTTTGTTATAAAGCAGAAACTAACACACCATTGTAACGCAATTATACTCCAATAAAGATGTTTAAAAAAAAAAAAAAGAGGTGTACTTCACCTATTTATTTTTACTTTTAAAAAAGAGCTTTGGATCATTGACCTCTCTTTTTTTGGGTCAAGATACATGAAAGCCATGAGAGGTGAAACTCGTTTGCACAACCAGTGCATATGTTCAGGGTCTAAGTCATTGCTTCCCTGCTGAAGTAGTTCTCATTTCTTACCATTCTTTACGGGTAGCTTCTTCCTTGCGTCACAAAAGGAAACATGGTTTTCATCTGTTGATTTGTGTTTTATGAAAATTCCCCACTTTTCTCTGCCCACAACAGAGCAACTGTAGTTAAGTGTGGTACGGTCGTAAGAAAATGAATCGATATTTCTATATATCTAGCATGGGTAGTTGGCTTAGCAGGCAACACATTGTCATTAAAATTCTCCTCTATTCAAACAGATTTACTTCCCTAATTAAAGGCCAACTCTTTTACATTTGAAATGACAATTTACACAAAAATGTTTTGCTTGGTATTTTCAAAACCCTTAGCTTTTACCCTAAATTATAACTGCACCACAACTCATCTCACTTTCTGAAGCTTTTGCCTGCTCCATGGTTTTCTCTTTGTGAGTTCTTTAAGGATCTGGTTAATAATGCCTCCACCCCTTAAAAAGTTTAGCATCAACTAACGAACAATGAATCATCATTGTTAACGAGTATTAACTCTAGAGTTGATTTCTGGTTTTATCCCAGGGTCAGTTCTAAATGCAACTGTATCTATATAATGCCCAAATCATCAGTTAAACAGTTCAGGAAGAAGTTGATCCTTTGGTTACATTGTCTGGATTTTTTTCTTTTTATAAAATTAAATGATTGAGTCTTATAAGTTGTTCATTTCAGCATTGGGAGAGTCTCATTAGACCTAATCATTTAATTAAATATTTTTGGAGGATAATTAATGATGTTTAAGAAGGTACTGTGCTATTCTTGCTGATTCAAGTATGGCTACTCTACTAAACTGATATACAAGTAAAAGGTGAGAAAAATGCACTGTAAAAGTTACGTATTTCAGATGTCACCAAATGAGACTAATGGGTTCTAGTCAGTGTTCTGCTCCCTCCAATTTTGCTTTTCTAAGTTCACATCCCCCTCCCTCTTCTAGCCAAAGCACCATCATTTTTTCATTTATTTTGTGTTTTTAAACATGATAGTAGGATGGCTTTTGCAAAATACTTAGGTCAAAAATTTTTAGGTCTAAAAATGAATATAAAACACAGAAGCAGTGATTGAGGTAACAGCATCTATTATGCTTCTTGAGATCTGCAGGTGTTGATGTTGTAACAGTGTAATATGAATTGTTATTGAGAGCTCTTTAATTCTCAGAGTCAGGTTTAAAGAGATTTCAATCTTTTTCTTGTGGGCCCAGAATATTTTAAAAACTTCTCAAGAGAATACTATTCAGCCATAAAAAAAGAATGAAGTTCTGCCATTTGCAACAACATGGATGGACTTGGAGGGTGTTATGCTGAGTGAAATCAGTCAGACAGAGAAAGACAAATACTTTATGATACCACTTATATGTGGAATCTAAAAAATAAAACAAGCCAATGAATATAACAAAAAAGACACAAATTCACAGATATAGAGAACAAACTACTATGTATAAAATAAATAAGCTACAAGGATATATTGTACAACACAGGGATTATAGCCAACAGTTTATAATAACTATAAATGGAATAGAACCTTTAAAAATTGTGAGTCACTATGTTGTACACCTGAAACATATATCATACATCAACTATACCTCAATTTTTAAAAAGACAAAAAAATTTTGCTATAATATATATCGAAAGACTTTTGAGATGTTTTCTTCTTTTTGCTGGCATTTGCGTTCTTTCTTATCTAAATAAATAAATACAAATATATTGAAATTTAAATAGAGTTCTCAAAAGAGCACTCGAAGCAAAATACAGTTGTTCTTTTGATGTACTTCAAAACAATAGCATGACCAAATTTTGTTATAAAAGTAATTTTTAAAATTTATGTGCTTTAAAAAAATTCTCACAAGAAAACCAGCTCTTTTAGTTATTTTTTAAAAATTGAAAGAGCAGAATGCCTGAATATTTATCCAGAAATAGGAAAACCGGGGTTTTTGCTCAATTTTATTTTGCAGAGGATTACAAATGGAGTTCAAACTACAAAAGAAGTTTTTCAGTATTCCAGAAAAGAACCACTGGTACATTAATAGAGTGGATTTGAGAAATGGCAGGAAATGAAGACTTATTAATGGGAAAATAAAACTAGAATGATTGTATTAATGTTGAGTTTATATACAACTAAACCTTTAAAGTTTATAACGTACTTTTATATGTTAATTCAGTCAATTTTCACAACATCCTTGTGGGATAATTGTGGGATAATTCTGTTTTTTACATTTGAGAAAACAAATATTGGGGGAGGCTAAATAATTTGCTCAAGGCTGCATTGCTGGTATCTTGTTGATGCCAGACTTGAATGTGTATCTTCTGATTCTTGGGAGTGATTGTTCTGTGCTTTAGAAAGGAAATCAGAGTTTTAGAGTTTCTGCTTTGCCATTAGCTGATTTCAGGGAAATCAGAAGATGAGAAAGAAAGGCACTATTTCTAACTGTTTGCTTTAAGATGAATTACTGTCCTTCTATCTTACCATGAACATCCCAGAGGCACTTGGTCAATAAAGATACATTGGTCCACACATCTAGTTACTCCAGTCACCTGGTTCTTTTGCATTAATTTTAGTCGGGTGAAGACCAAACCCCCGAGAGAAGAGAGACCTGCTTTTAGAGCTTCATTGGATTGTCCTAAGTCACCTGTGGGGTATCATTTCTGTCTCTTCTTACCTAGTGGTTTCTCTTCATGTGCAGATAATTCTGTGGTTTGGGCTTATTCTCAGTAAGCATGGGGCTCAGCTCAACTTCATGGGAAGATACAGAGCTACGTGTCCCTTCCCAACTCTAAAATGTTGAGTTTGAGAACAAAGAATTGGTGCATTGAAAAGGGAGAAGTGGTCATGGGGGACAGATGTAAGACCGGTTTGGATGTTTACTTGTTGGTTTACTCACTGCCCAAATCAGCCCTCACACAAGCTGGGTGAATGGGAGCTCTTTTGCATGGTTACATTTACTGTACTGTCTATGGCTTTCCTCTAAGTTAGTGTATTTAAAATAGATGACAGGATTCTGGGGTTGGCAAAAGTTTTTTCACTCAGCTCAGGTTATCAAAGGATGGGCTCTAGATAGGAAATGGAAGGGGTAAAGAAGCAGATCTTACTGAAAACAAAAAGTAATTTGAACAGTTATCCCAGGGGAGATACCCCTTTCCAGGGCACATGAAACTCTCAGGGGTGCCGTGTATAGACTGAAAAAAAAGTAATATGCCGAACTTTTTCATCGTACAAACTAGAGAAAATCAAGCTTTAGCAAATCTTTTTAGCTGAAGGAAATCTTCAGAAAACCGTGAGACATCATCCGGGCAGGAGGCTTTAGTTAGAGAAGTTTCAGAAACCTTAAAGAAAAAGGAACTAGCCATTCCTAGAAGGAAAACAGTTTTGTAGGAAGCAGGGATTATCCCAACTCAAATGCTCATGAAAGCTGATAGCTCGAGTGACTTCTGTTTGACAAGGATATTGTCACTGTTGACAGGGGTGACTGGCAGGGTGGAAAAAGAAGGGGATGAAGCTTTGCAGAAAGGCTTCAGAGGAAATTTGACACCTTCCAAACCACAGGTGTGAAGGTAAGTGAAACCGGTAAGTAAAAGTTGGTGTTGTTTTTCAGGGTCTGACACTCTACATACTTTTAGTTCAAAATGTAGAAGTTTGATTGGATAATGTGAGAGACGTTGGGACATGGGCATCCAGGAATTAGGGGGTCAGAGGATTGTTCTCTGCCCCTGAAGAGACTCCTGAGGCTTTACTTGTATTGTATTCCACCGTATTCACCAGAGCTCCAGGAAGACAGGCTAGCTTCTCTCCCTACCAGCCCAGCCTGTTTCAAATCCCAGGCTGAGATAGGCTTTCTAACGCAGCTCTCACTGGTCATTTATTGAGTGCCTGAGCTTGCTGGGATTGGAGATATTACAATCTTTTAATATAGAATGCTTGTCTTCAAAGATTACAAATCATCAATGAAAACATGGGGCATAGTGAATTCAGCCTGAAGATGGATTATTCTCAAATAGAACTAACTGTAAAAAATAAAACATAAATGCCAAGTAAGTAGTATAAATATTAAGTTTTATAGGAGTTCAGAGGTATAAGCTAGGAGCTATAAGTAGTTGGAAAAGCCTTTTTGGGAGAGGCGGAAGTTGAGTTTTACATCTTTAAGGCTGGGTAGAATTCAGACAGCCTGGGTGAGGATAGGTGGAGATGAAGGCATGTGAAGAAATGGGGGAAGGAGTTAGAGGAATGCTTCCCAAGGGGGCAAAGAAGCTACTGGAGCAAAGGGACAAGGGATTAAATTTAATAACCCTGAGAGGCCCCATCAGAGAAATCAAACATTGGTATTTGTAACCGTTATTTTTGTTTGGCTCTTGGAGCTAAGCATTTGGGTTTGCTGAGGATATAAACAATTCAGTGTTTTTAAGGAGTGGGCAGGGGAGGTACTGACCTGAAGTGGATAGTAGAATGGACTGTGGGGGCGCCGAGCCTAGAACTGAACCCAGGTTTTGCCATTCTTTAGCAGCCTGGTTTCCAAAGAGTTCACCTCTTCTGGCCTCAGGCTCCTAATTTTTAGTTGGGGATGATCTTAGTATCTAATTCAACCAGTAGCTGTGAGGTTCAAAGGAGATATAATAAAATATTTAAATGTTTATCATAGTACTTGGCACAATAAACCTTAGCTATTATTTTAATGTTACTAAAATTATAAATCATATTAACAACAGTAATGATATTAAAACCTCAAAGCCAAGGAACACCATGAAATTGTTAATGTGCAGGTGAGCACAGAGATCACGTGTAAAGAGTGGACCTTCAGAACCTGCTACTACTGTTTTCTGATCTCCAGGATAGATGGAGAAAAGAAAACAATAGCTTTTGTTTTCTCCGACCCTCCCACCAAGTCCAGGGGTCCGTGAGTGTTCGTGGAGATCCTGGCTTCCGCGTGGGTCCACGTTGTTTGCCCTGATACTGAGGGGAAGGCCCTGTCTCACAAGGGGTATGGCTCCCGACTCAGGCCAAGATGGAGCAGAGCGCTTTCTTGCATTTCCATCGTGCTATGGTATGGGCACGCTCGATAACCAGTGCCCTCTATTTGTAATTCACATGAAGTTGTTTATTTCTTGCTTCTCATTTTAGCAGGATAAGCAAGCTGGGGCAGGCCACTTTCTAGTAGATTGTGAGAAGATAGATCTCAGCATTAGCTTGACTTGTGGGTCTGATGCGGAGAGAAGAGAGTCAAAAGGAAATATTCTTGTGGCTTTCTATATGACTGCAAGGCAGCAGGGCTGTTGTTTGCTAGAGCAGCCAATTAAGAAGAGTGACATTCTGGCCACTGAATGTTAATAGGCCCAAGTGGAAGTGTGGTGACCAAAGTTGAGTCATAACTTGAGAGGAAACCAGTCTTACCCATGTTTTTTTGTTCTTTAGTGGAGACCCTTAGTAAGCTCTTCGAGGACAGTGGCTTTCTACAAAGGGGAGTGATAGTAACCGTTGGCCATAGCAAATGGCTCTTCTCACTCTAGTGTCAGAACAAGAACCAATTATGAGAAGCCTGGGTTTGGCTTGCTTTTGGTGTGGTTAATGTTGGTGGGAAGGTTCCTTACAGATCTCTTCGTTTATTAATGCATTTGGTCTAAGATAGGCTCTCAGGACCTCCTATTGCTGTGACTGTATTGATCTGGCTGGCTCTGTCCAGGTTGTTAACAGAATTCAAGCCACCCTGTACCCCCGAGAGAGTCTCACCAAGCTTCCCTCTTGTCTGGTTTGTGGCCATGTGAGGCATCTTCAGGTGGCTCTTTGAATGTTAAGGCTGGGTGATCTTGCACCATCCTTGTAGAGCACCTAAGACTTGAGGGGTTTTGTGATTTCTCTAGGTGCCTTACCAGACCACAGAAATGCAGGGGACCTCTGTTTCAATGCTAGAACCTACAGCTTTGTCCCATGTTTATTCTTGGGGATGACTGGTAACCTGAACTCTCCAGACTTCAGGGAGAGCCCAGTATCTATGCAAGAATAAATATGCAATTGGGACCAACTCTACTATGGAGGAAATTGAGTTTTATGGGAACTGAAACAAACCATCTCTCACCCTCCTGCGTCCCAAAGTAAATGAAACAGTGCCCATATCGTGTTACCAGAGGCCTGGCCTCATTGTTTCTGTGATGTTACTTATCCGCTTTGCAAATATCCTCAGATCAAAATTTTCCGTGCCCGTTTATCTTTCTCATGCAAATAAATCATGCCCAGTGTTCTGTTTCAATTAGTTTACTGAATGAAGCATCATTTACAACACCTGTTGTCACTTTCCTATTAGGAATTCGGTTCAAAAGTGAGTTCAGGGTGTAGACTGAGACCTAAGTAATTCTTTCGCTGTTCCATTGCGGAACCCCTCTGGGAGGCTTGTAGGATAGAAACTGATACCGGCCCTTCCCAAAGGGGCCTCCTCCAGTGTGGAAGCGCCAGCACACAGGTAGATTGTTATTTCTAGGAATACTTGCACATCTCTCCTGTTGCCAGATGGCAAACTAATTTCTTTAGGAGAAACACTGGAAAATAATACCACTGGGTACTGCCTTCTTGTTTTCTACTGTGAGAGGCTGTTACATAAGCCAACCTCCAGGGATTTTCGAGGTGCTCTGTAAACCAAGTGGCAGCGGATGGATCATTCTTTACATGAATCAGATATTCATTTTCAGCAACTAAAGTCCCTAACACCCGAAAAACCGAACTGGTGTTCTGGTTTCCTATTAGGAGACACCTGCAGGCCACTCTGCACTTCAGAAGAAAGATCTTTGTAAAGGGTTGGGTTCCACAGTTTAAAAAATGAAACTTAAAAAATAATACAAACAAGTGGGCTTTCTCATTCTGTTATCTAAATCAACTCAGAACTGACAAGAAGGCCAGTAGGGAAGCCTAGAGATTTTGAAAGGGAAACCATGTACTTTGAAGGTTCTGTCCCACACTCAGGAAGGATGGCAGGAAGTACCTCTCTGACCAGGTATTTCACATTCTAGAGCATGACGAGGGCCGTTTTACTGCTGCCTCTGCTCTTGAATAAGACCTCCATGGTAAATTGTTTCTCAAGTAGGGTTTGCTTTTCCTTTTTAAATAAAAATAGACTTACATTTTTTCCTCAAAATGCTAAACAACTCTGAAGTAAACGTCATCTAGGTAATTTCTAGAAGAGAACTTTTGCAGTTGATTGCCCTCTGGTTCTGATGAAATAATGCATCAAAGTTAGAAAGAAAAAAATCTTGACTCAAGTTTTACTAATAAGTGTTCTTAGCTAGAGGAGCTGAGGGGCGGGGAGAGGGTGGTGGTGCTGGTGGTGAATGGAAAACTACAAAGCCAAGCGTAAGATCCATCATAAGAATTCCACTCCTGTTCAATAGTTTTTTAAGGTATAAAGTTATTGTCTCTCATTATCAAGCTATTGTCTCTCAGCATCAAATCCATCCTTCTACTTCGATACTCTGCTGATCTCTGCCAAACACATTTATTTCTCTGTTACTACTAGTCCTCTGTTAGGCTCTGCCTATAGGGAATGCTACAGGGAGACTGTAAGCCTGGAGGAGGAGAGAGTTTCTTTTCCTTCCTGCTACCTCTGAGGCCAGTTTTGCTGGCTGTTCCCTTCAGTATCAGCCAGCAACACTTCTTCACCCACACTGTGACAGTTGGTTCCCGTAGGAGCACTTGCTACCACTTTGCAGTGTTTCCAAAACTTGCCGAAGAGTCTCAGGGTAGCCCCTCAGAGACACTGTCTCGGCCGGCAGCATCTCCTTCTTAGATGTCTGGGCCAACACTGGAGGCCCCTCCGCTGGCCTTAGATAGTCCAGCACCTGCCAGCTGCCACCTCCCTGTGGAAGGTATGGGTCTGCCCTCCGCAGGGCCCACCCTGCAAGGCCTGAGGCCCAGCACCATCAGAGCAGTGCTCCCGCCTCACACATCTGAGTGAAGGATCCATTGGGGCTGTCCCTAAGGATCTGGTTTTAATAATTCCCATCTCTTCCTTTTGTTCCCCAGCCCCACAGGTGGTAACTATCCTATTTCCATGATAACTTAGTATTTCCTTTGTGCATCTTCAGTAATTCTGTACCTAGTAAATAATTCTTTGTATTATTTATAGTAAATTCTCTCTGTTGATATAGTTTGTCTCTTGGCTGGTCCTGGACTGATAAAATAGGAGTTCTTTCCTTTATCTCACATCTGTTTCGCTTGGACATTGACTAGATCTTACAAGGCCTACCTGGAGCTGACCTAAGAATGGTGTTCTTTGTGGGGAGTATCTTGTTATTCTTTATTCCCTGGGCCTGAAAGACCAGGGTTTAGTATCAGTTCTTATCCTGGGCTCCAAAAAGATGTGAGAGGTCTACTGACCAGCTGAGTTAGCCTTTAAGATGGAATGAGGAAAGACTTTTCATTTTTAATTGATAGGGAAGATTTACAGACATTCTGTTTTCTCATTCTAAGTCTCTATGGAACATTAAAATGTGGGAAGGGTTTTTTATATTTTTACTCCAGGCATCAGGTGTTATAGAAATAAAAAATCCAAAAGATTTATAGCATTTGTCAAGGG